AGGGGCCGTGGGCCTCCGCCGCCCCGTCCGGCCCTCAGGGGCGCCGTTCCCCTGGCTCTGCGCTCTGGCGGGGCTCCCGGAAAGGTCTCGCGCAGGGCGGTGGCAAAATGGCCTCTGGGGAACCCCCGGCTGGCTCCCCTGCAGCCCGCCCAGAGCCACGCCGCGTGACGGCTCCTTCTGTCGGAGAAAGCGGCATGCCCGTTATACAGTAGCCTTAGATGCCACTTGCGAAAGAAACCAAAGTTTATTATGCCAAACTCTGAATAGCTAGGATATTCAAAGTAATAATTTTAATTCGCAGTACCCTTAAATTCAGCAACATAGTAGGATAGTTTCGGGATACAACAAAGATCATTATTATGATGATGCATCAGTTGAAACTGATGCTGAGATTTTAGTGTTACTTGATTAAAAACAATTGTTAGTATGTCGATCTTCACTCGGACACGTGTTAAACGCGCGACCAGAGGTGTTTCCATCTCTTTAAGTGTGTAACAACGTGAGTTGCCAGATGTATCTTCACCAAAAGGGGAGCCTGGCTGAAAGAAGTTTGTGTTAGAGTCGCCTAGTGTAATTACCCGGGTCAGGCTGGAGTAGCTGATTATCTTTCAAGTTTATTATAAAGTATTAATAATAGGTGTGAAGGTGAGCTTAATAAATATGTTGGGAACAGTTGGTTTTAGCGTTTCAATTTTTGTGGATGTAGGCTTGAAGTAATACAGAGTTAATCAGTTACAAGCAGGGGTTTTTCTAAGCCTTTTCTTAGACAAGAAAAATTGCTGTGAGGAAAATACAGGTAAAATTAAAAGATGTAACTGGGGAGTTCTTAATGTTGTTAAAGATAATCTGTGAGAGAAGGTAGGGCAGAATGCATAAATACCATAGTTTAGTCAGTTGTCAGCTCTTTGCTGTAATTGGCTTAAACAAATTTATTTGGGATTTAAAAAATGACAAAGCTTTTTCCTGATATGAAGCTTTTTTTGAATGTTTCCAGGTAAATACTATCTGAATAAAGTTGTAAAACGGGTTCTTAAGTAGCCTTATATCACGGGGTAAAATAGATTACAAGGAAATCATATTTCTATTATTACTGAGAAATATTTAATGCTTTGCCTTTCTGCAGAGATCCTGCAAGAGGACGCTTTCAATATAACACCTTCAGAGGAGAGAGAAACTATTCCTGTTTTTCCTCTTCTGACTTTTACTCCAGTCTTGGGTTGGAAGACTTCCTCTCTGTAGGTGACATTTCTGGAACAGAGGAGGATACAGACTCAGCTATTTTATATGGAACTTTGCGAGGAAGTGTTGTTGGATTACGATACTACACAGGGATTGTAAGTGCATGATAAATTACAAAGCGGAAGAAAAAGTTGTCAGCTTCAGGGAAACAAAATGTTTAATTTTGAAAAATTTTAGAACTTTTGACGAAGTATAATTTTAATAGAATTTTTTTCCTAACTTGCTGTATTACATGTTCTTCATAGGAAGTACTTAATCTAAAACTTTAATTCAAAATTTAATTAAGATAGCAAGCTTTCAAATCTGGTTTAGTTATTTGGTAGCTCTGCTCCCCCACATAAGGCAAATGAAAGTGACCGAAAACAAGAAATTAGATAGGTCTTTGAACTGTTTACATGAACAAAAAAGGGGTGTTTATTTGCTTACACAATGTGTTAGCAGTTGAAGGTAGTTCTTGCTTGCAGGAATACTTTTGAAATTTCTGACATCTATCAGGTATCTCTTCTGTAATGCTTTTGGTATTTTGAATAAATAGTAAGGTATTTGACTGAACAGAATGATATACCATATTAATCTTTAAGCTTTACAGTATTTAAGTAAATGTATATTGGGTATTTCTGCAAGTAATTTGCAACTAAATTAATGGGTTTTGGTATTTGTTTTGGTTTGTTAGGTTAATAACAATGAAATGGTTGCACTTCAGAGGGATCCTAATAATCCTTATGATAAAAATGCAGTGAGAGTAAATAATGTGAATGGAGACCAGGTAGGCCATATAAAAAAAGAACTGGCAGCAGCATTGGCAGGCATTATGGACAGCAAGCTAGCAGTAGTTGAAGGGTAAGTGTGAAGATTATGCTTTCGAGCATAATTCTGAAAACTATTTTTAAGTGTTCTCTTTTGGCAGAAATGACAGCTTCTGATAATATGAATGACGCTTCATGTTTTCACACTATTCTTCTGTTGAACTACTTTCATACAGTTTATTCTTTCCTATATATGGTAAAATGTAGGGATGCCAAATCCCTTAAAGACTGTTGTGGAACTCTTAATTTAACTGCATGTGGTAATTTGTATAAAAGGTTTCCATGGTATGAGTATTAACACCTATCTGGTACATTCTGTGTTTTGATGAAAATAAGGACTTTGGAGTATCTTTTGCTGAAGAAATAACAAAGTTTGTTATAAAAAAGTAAACAATTAAAGGATTAATGCTGTGGGTTTTCTTCATGCTTTTTATCAGGGTTGTCCCTTATGGAGCAAAAAATGTCTTTACCATGCCTGTACAAATGAGCTTTTGGGGAAGAGAAGAGAACAGGGAAGCAGTACTAGATCAACTAAAAAGGCACGGGTTTAAATTGTCTCCTCCTCTGAAAGGTAAGTCTTGAAGTTTGGGATTTTTTTCCTTTTGAAAATATTCAGATTGAATTTGCCACTTGTTGGAAGAAATGTTTAAGGGCTTAAGCCCTGGCATAGTCTTGTCATTCACAAAATTATTTTTTAACTTAGTTGGGGGACTAATGCAGAGCCCACAGCTATTAATTTTAAACTTGATAGAAGTATACTTTTGCATCCTATCTTTTATGTTACTTGCTAGCAGCTGGAGAGGCATTTGAGCAACCTTTGTTTCTGAGGTTCTATTGCTCAATTCCATATATTCTTTAAAAATTCATAATGATTCCTTGTATTTCTCCAGAGTTGAAGAAAATTTTTTTTAAGAAATAGGTTAGAACCCTTCATAGTGTGAGGGTTTCAGGGACAGTGTTGCTTTTTAGCAGAGTGCTAGGACGTGTATCTGACTAGTGAGGTGTGAGCAAATAGAGATGTCTGAACAAATAAGCTTAGCAGACATGATGCTCTGTAGAGCCAGCCTTGCACAAAAAGCACCTGTGCTCCTGAAACTAGGCTTTGTTGAAGCAGTGGTAGTCAGGAGTAAGGATGCGTGCAGAAATAAACATTTGGTAAGGGATAGGTAGATCTGTTTTACATATAGCAAGATTTCAGTTTTTATCTTATAGGTTCTGTTGCACATAGTTAACAGAGAATGAGTTTGAAGTAAGAAAAGATTTTTGCATTATCAGTCATCACACTGTTACCAAGTCAAATTTCATGTAAAGGCATTTTTAAGTAACACAGTTGCCATCTCAACGGATCCCAGCACATGGCTCATTGCCTGTGAATCTTACAAAGCTTTGTGGAAAGCCTTTGTGGCCCATTGAAAGTAAAGGATAATTGAGGCTGAAAGACACTGTCTCATAGCCCACCATCTGGTCAGCATTGTTACTAATGAGCCAGTGAAGGATGAGATTGGGAAGTCATCATACAGTCGTGTTTCAAAATGCTATCTTTTTAATGGCAAGTAGGTTCAGAAAGCAGGTTTGGATCAAAATGGATTTCTGGGAGAGCTGGTCCAAGTTACAGTGCTCCGGTTCATGCTGCTGTGCAGTTGACAACTGAACAGGTTTGCGTTTAATACTTAAACATTTGGAAGTTGGAATTTTAACAGTGGGGGCTTTTAACTTTTTCACTGATAAGACAGTAGTGGTGAAGTGGAAGTCTGTCACATTTTCTGAACTACAGATTTGCTTTGAAGTCATTGTGAACTTTTTAACTTTCTCATTTTTATACTGTAAGCAGATGTTTTAGCTGGGACAGCCTTGAGTCCCGTGTAATTTTAGGAGGTTTTGGTTCTTCAGTAATTTTTTTTATGGTGCTGTGGTGGTGTGTTTTCTATGTCCTAATACTTTACCAGGTAACAAGTATGTTAAGTTCTCAAATGAAAATAAAATTGGACTTCTAGACTTTTATTTTCAGATTTGGCACAGGGTGATACATGAACGGTTGGGTGATTATTTGGTTGTGGTTTTGCTTTTCATTTGCTCTTTCAAATTAGAGTGAAGTAGTTACTTTAGTGAGTGTTGTACAAGGATGAGAATATATTTAGCCATCCCTTCTCAAGCTCTTGGTTGTATTGGCATGTATTTGTCTTGGAAAGATTGAACTTACATTTGTTAGCTACTGCTATATAAAAACTATTCCAGCAAATCAGGTCTAAAGTGCTAGTCCTGTCTGTAGTAATTGACATATGACAGGTAATTGTAATTTAATGGAGGCATTGATTATTTAGCGAGGTTATTTTTAATTGCAGTAATTTTAATTGCAATTTTTGTGTTCATTTATGCAGCTTAAAAGTGAATTCGACAAATTGTTTGAGGATCTCAAGGAAGATGATAAAACTTGTGAAATGGAAGGAGCAGAGGTATTTCTTAAGCTAGAAACCATTTTCTATAAAACTATAAAAAATATCTAGATGTATATTTAGCTTTTCCTGGACACAGGAGATACTTGAATCAGAAAAAAAATCGGCAGATACAAAGGACTTTATTAAAAAAAAAAAAATCTCTTCCAAAAGTGATATGTCAGCTTTAACATGTGAATAGTGCTTAACGTATCTGTTTAATTTGCAGACTGTTGGGACACTCTTGCTTCCCCATCAGAAGCAGGCATTAGCTTGGATGGTTTCACGTGAAAACAGTAATGATTTGCCACCATTTTGGGAAGAGAGAAGTGACTTCTATTACAATATACTTACAAATTTTGCAGAAAAGAAGCGACCTGAAAATATTCGTGGAGGAATACTGGCAGATGATATGGGACTGGTAATAATACTTATACAAAGCTTGAATTTTTGTTTATGCAGAATGTGTGTGCATGTTTCTTATTGGTTCATCATCTGGTTCATTTTAATCTGTGGAAAATATTATACTCTTTTCTGTTATGCAGGGTAAAACACTTACTACTATTGCATTGATTCTCACAAATTTTCAAGATGGCAAGCCTCTTCCTGTTGAAAGGATCACAAATGATAAGTTTTGTGAGGTGAGATGAAAGAAAAAAATTGTTTTAACGAGTTAATTTAGCAGTTAATTAAAACCCCTGTGCCTGGTATCTTGACTGTGTTATCTTAGGAGTGTATGCCTGAGTATACTCCAAAGGAAGAATTTATGAAGGCATAAATATTTTCCAATGTTAAGTTTTACAAATTCTTAAACTACTTATAAATTTTTCCTGTAGGCAAGTTGTGACTGCATGAATAGAAGTGGTGTTTTTTCTGGGAGTGTGTATGGATAGTTTCTGTGTGGTTTGGAGGAAACAACCAAAATAGGAAGTGGAGGATCTTGGTGTAAAGTACACAAATCTCAGTTTATGTTTTTGCCAAATACTTGAAGAGAGGAGGGGAAAATAGAGTTAGTGAACTAACACTGATGTGCAGACTTTTTAGACAGTGTAGTTCAAGTGCTTTTTGCTTTCATTATAACATGATTTTCAAGACAATGAAATAAACTAAATGCTAGGATTAGGTGATTTATTATGCAATATTCCCTGACAGCATTAAGGCTGGGCGTCTGGTTGGCCATACTCATCCAAATTGAACAAAATAATGCTTTATGTTTGACCTCAGAATGTTAACAGGGAAATGTTGTTAGTGTGTTTTCTTCCTCGGGCAGCTGTGTAGACTGAGTTTGAGTTTCTCTCCCTCTTTACAGTTTCATTTGAATTCTGTGTATGGCTACTAATAAAAAAAACAAACCCCGACATAAATAGTAATATATTTTTCAGCACCTTTAAGTGACTGTCTCATTTGCCACTGAGCAAGTTTTCCATGTTTCAGAGCAGTAACTAATTGCTGGTCAGATTAGTGTAATAATGTTGTTGGTATTTTTTTCCAGTTGCTACATTAAAGAGTAAAAGTTTCCATTCCTCAATAGGAATCTGGCACTAACAGTACGAACAGCGTTGGACACAGACTGTGTAAAGGTGACATCAAACTATGAAAAGTCCAGTAATGTTTGCACGATAATTTATTACCTGTGGTACTCTTACTATGTGGTCAGTGCTAGTCTTTACAACCTCTTGACAAGCTAAGTATCTCAGAAGTGTTTAAAACATAGCTTTAGAGTTGTTTCAGTTGACACTTGAGAAGATTAAGCGCTTTGTGAGAAAGTTGCATCCTGTTGGGAAAGGTACTGTGTCTAAAAAATGGATTCTGCTTTCCTTTTGCTTTCTTTTTTTTCATTTCTTGTACATAAAACAGGAGCACTTTTGCATCTGTTAGAACCTTCTTTGTCTGAACAGTAAATGTTAGTAATTGTATTTAGGTTCTGTATTGAGTCACTTCTCTTTTAAAATGTTTTTAAGTAATGAGAAAATGACAAGTATTTAAAAGGATTTTATCACAGTTGTAGTTTTCAGGTTATACTGAGGTAGTTTATGGATGTATATGAAAAATTGTACTCGCTGTTAGTACCTTTTGTAACTCATCATGGTCTTGAAAATGACCAAAGAAATGTATGAAGCTTGAAGTTTTCTTTCAGTAACCTTCCCTCACTGTCCTCCCCTGCCAAGAATTCTAAAACTGATGTCACAACAGAAATGAAAGGCACTGACAAGGAGGGAACACATTAGTATGAGCTGTCTCTAGTAAAAGTTATTTTTATCAGTACTCTAGAAGGGAGAAAATGCAGACTTTTGAGGGGTCAGTGTGAGTGTCACTGGAAAATTAGTACCTCTACCAAAGCTTAAATGCCTAGCAGCATCCAAGATATTTACTGGGTTTTTTAAATTATATTTTTTTCCAGAGCATTAAACATTTTAACAAGATACTGTTTACAGCAGTGAGGGGAGAGCCTGCTTCTAGTCTTATTTAATCTGAAAAAGTGATTATAATGTCTTTCAGACCCCCATTTCTCATTCTATTGTACACTAGTTTGATGCCTATTTCTTGAGTCTTTGCAAGTTTTGCCATATTTCAGGATTTTATTCAACTTTTTTTTAATAAAAAAAAATAAATAGTGAAGTTCAGATGTGGAATTCAAGTATAAATTTACTTAACCTGAATTATAGCAAAACTCTTTCTGCAAGCACTGTTGCTTTCAGTTTTGTTATGAACTCTGTCCTAATGCATTTTCTTTTTTGCATTTGCTTCTGGTATGCTATTATTGGCAGAGCACAGAGGTGATATTTTGTTCTGTGCCTGATAGAAGACCTTCACCCCAACAAAACAAAACGACCTTACCCCAAACCCCCACATGTGCATCTGTGATGTTACCACATTTTTTGCTGTTGCTGTTATTCATTTAGTTTCAGTCAATGTAGAAATCATTAATTAGTAAGGTTTGACTTGTAAAAAGCCTTTACCGTTTAGCATTACTTTCTTTATAGACCTTTATCTTTACAGTTAACAGTACAATGCTTACATTTGGTTTTTCCTCTTTTCTTGATGGCTTGTTTTTGACCACCTGCAAACTCAGTACACAGTTTATGACTTTGTAAAGATTTCAGATTGTTTTAAGAGTATTCTCATTTTTTTATTGGTGATCGCAGGATCAGTAGTACTTGTCCCATGCAGAACTAAGCTTGTTTTGAAGGAAGTTTGTACTTGTTCTTGATCAAGTTATGCAAAAGTTGGTTTGATAACCAAGCGGCAGACTATGTATGTTTTTCATAAATACCAATTTCTTCCTGATGAAGACTCTAACAGTGTGATGGAGCCTGGTGTTTCTAATGCAAAAAAGTTTGAAACTACTCCATTGAAATACTCAAGTTGTCTTCCAAAAAGGTAGATAGCTGGAATAATCTTTTTCTTTTTGTTGGTTTTCTACATAGATTTTTGAGTAAAATGATTATTTGATTATGATTATGATTATGATTACTTGATTATGATTAACCTCAGCCTCAAACATGTTCCTGCTCTCTCCTCAGATTTCAGTATGCTGTACTTCAGCTTATGTTTATTATCATAAGTGTTCTGTATCTGTGCTGCATTTTGGAATATATTTAAAAAGCATTAACTCATTCTGTGTGGCTTGTGTGATTGCATGCTTGGGTGTCTGCAGTAGTGAAACTGTCCCATAACATCAGTGTGTGGCAACTAAAAAAAATGGCTGTGAAGTAATCTTCTAGTATCAACTGGATTTTTAAGTGGTTAAGAAATAATTCACAGGCATGCTTCTGACAGAGACAGCCTTGAGCTGATGAAGTTGTGAAGCTTACTAATGTGTCTGAACCTTCCCACCACACTAGCTGCTTATAACTGGTGTGAACTTCAGTGATCATCTGTACCAAGTTTTATGAGCATGATTGACCCTGCAGCTCTGTGCTTTCCCTTTTTCTAACCCTTCTAAAGAGAAAATTTTTAAATCATAGCGGTATCTTATTTGCAATATCAAGTTCATTTGCCTTATGCTCTTGAGATTTAGTATGTAAATTCAAGCAGTACTAGAGTTGTGGATTTGACTTGCTGCTTTTTTTCTTCTTTTTTTTTTTTTTCTTTCTTGCTGGTGATATCTTAGCAATAAAGCCAAGAAACCCAGGTATTCAGGAAGTGGTTTAGGAGAGCCTGAAGAATTGCTACTGCAACGAACAGAATGTAAGTTGCAGGGATTTTTTTTTTTTTAATTGGTTACTGTGATGCCTGGTGTTTTCAGTTTGGTTTCAGAAAGTAAAAGGATTCCCAATAAACTGGAAAAGGTATTAAACTACTCACGGTTTTTTGTTATTCAACCAAAACTTGAAGCAAAAAATTTTAGAAATTGCTGAATAAGAAAGCAATGTTTTAGTCCTGAGTGGTGTACTTTATGTCCTTAGCTGAACAAGTGGTAGTGTAACAAGCCATGAGCAGGGCCAAACAGATGGTGAAAAACAGAATTACTGAGACTTTCAGAATGTGACATGGACTCATTGTCAGGGCACTAGGGATGGAAAAACAAATTAAAAAAATTAAATCCATCTTTTGTTGTAAATACCAGTAATGTGATCATGAATAGTCAAGAACACATCATTTGTTGAACTAAGTATCTTGCATGAAAAAAAAAAAGGGCTACAGGTATTCTGGAGTAAGCAGTTAAGTTTAGGTTTAAAGTTCACTTGGTGTGAAACGTATGCTAAACTTTTTTTCTAAATGATTGGTTAACTGTATTCCTTTGAAGGTTCCTAACTGGAAATAGATGTATTAAGATACTATATTTCTTCACACACGCCAGTCAGACTTCAAGGAGCGTCTGGATGATGCTCTTACCCATGTGGTTTAGTTTTAGGAAGCTCTGCAGGGAGTTGAACTCGATGATCCTTATGGATCCCTTCCATCTTGAGATATTCTACATTATTGTATTGGAGAGGAGAAGTAATTTGGTTAAAAAGTTTGACATTTATGAAACATGTTGTAAAAATAAATGCACACATATGCTCTGCATGGCGTGAAAAATCCATGTTTGTGTGGCTTTTTGCAGCAGCTTCCTGTGTCATCCAAGAAGATACAGGCTTTGCTTCTGCACTTCTAACTTCATCTGCTTGTTTAAAAAGACAAAGAAAGAGAAAAGGTAATGAAGGGATAAACAGATAATAATTTCTGAGTTTTTTGAAGCTGAAGTATTATACATATTTGACTTAATAAATGAAGCTTATGTCTTTGTAAATTGCTTTGATGCTGTTCAGGTGAAGAAATTTAGGAAGGGCTTTAGGGAACCATAAAGTTCTTGAACAGAACACTTAGTTTTAAAGTGAACTGTTACATCGCTAAATATGACTTCTGTTTTCTCAGGTACCACTAGCATTCAGTCTGTTCAGAGGAAATATTCTGATGATGGCTCCAGAGCAACACTGATTGTATGTCCACTCTCTGTCCTAAGCAATTGGATGGTAAGTGCTAAGCTGTTTTAATGTGATATATGTTGATAATGATGCTGTAAAAATAGTACTCCCTGTAGTCTCTCATGCTAGTTAAAGGTCATGTTTTTCCTTTTTTATGAAACAGAGCTGCTTTCACAACAGAGGTTTATTTGATAGAAATCAAAAAACTGCAGTAGTAGTGTAATGAGAGCGTGGTTCCGTGAGTAGCAAGCTTACCACTGTCAGAAAGAGTGAGCTCGCTTTCCATTCTTGCTTTTGACTTGGCAGGTTCACTTCACTTCTTGAACTCATGTGGTTTAACTCCTTAAACCAGATGAGGAAGGTGGAGGAGACTGGTCCTCCTTCTTGCATGCTCAGAATAAAATACTGTTGTACTTTATTGATAATGCATGTGGCATTTTATTAGAGGTGTTCAGTAATTTGGTGATCCTGTTGGTGATTTGTGGGAGTAGGTCTGCTAGAGTGAACAGACTGAAGGACCCTTCTAGCTCTGTCTCTGTGTTAGTTAATTTTTTTTGTTTTCGTGACATTTTGAATACAAATATTAAGAGGATATCTTTAATTTTCAAGTTATGTTTTATTTGGAAGTTTTTGCTGTTAGTGCTTAGAACATTAATAAGAAAAGGAAACAATCTTAGACTGTAGGTAAACCATTAAAATAATATAATTTGGAAACATAGTGTAAAAAATACTCTTCCTCTATTCAAAACTGAATTAAGTATTTGAAAAGAAAACTTGAGTCTGGTGCTTCAGAAGCCAATTTGATTTTTAGTGGCTGTTGGGATTACTGTATGCTGAGAGCGTCACAGAACAAATGTAGAGAATGTAAACGCTGGTTTTAAAATGAATACTTCGACAATTGTGCCATCATGCCATCATTTATGTTAAAACTTAAGTGGTTAACTCAGTAAGGGGAACAAGCTGTAAAAGAACAGTGAAAGAATAAACAAAGAGAAGATGAAGATAGAAAGTGAAAAAGAACATAAAAGCTCTTTAAAACTTTAAAGACTTATGTTTGGGAGGAACAGTGGATTTTGAAGTGCATATACCATCAGGATGTGAGTTAACGCTCTGCAAGAAGTAGAGCTTGAATTACCAGAATGTGATACTGTGTCTGTTACTAACGGCTGAGGTGTGACTGCTTCTGGTCCCTCTTGTCACCTGGGTGGAGAGGTAAAAAAAAACCCCAAATTAAAATTGCTTTTGTTATATAAGTGGATGTAGAACATCACAGAGCTAGAGGAAGTGGGTTTTAGTTAAGCAACTTACAAGAATATTATTCTAACAGTCATGTAGTAACACAGTATCTTTTGGATGACTTTGATAACTTCTCTTTCAGGACCAATTTGAACAACATATCCACCAAGACTTTAATGTAAATATTTATGTTTATTACGGTTCTGACCGTAGCAAAGACCCATCGGTTCTTTCAGAACAAGACATTGTACTGACGACATACAACATCTTAGCTACTGATTATGGGGTAAGTAAATGAAAAAAAGTGTTCTTTGAAGATCCCTTACTGCTCAAGACTCCTGATGTTTGGGCTAATAATGGTGGTATTTTCAAGTGCTAATTCTGTTAGGCAGTCAAAAGGTTAGAGCTGTAGTTTTACTTTACATACTTCATTACAGGATTGCTGGGGTAACAAAGGGAGGTTTTTTTATTGATTGCTCCTGTAGAGAATATTACTTGGCTGCAATTATGACTGACAGCTTCAAAATGAGACTTTTTAAGGATAGAAAAGGATGGCAAGTATTTAAATCTTCCTGAACTGTAGTAGCATGAAGGTCCCACTTCTGCCTTTCCCTATCAAATTCAAAGAATGAGGCATATAACACATAATTCTATAGTTCTTGTTGTGCATGGGCTGCAACCAAGTAGCTCATTTCATGAGATGAATTTGAAAAGTGATGTTTTCATAGAAATTCCGTCCATTTTAAACGCCTGAAGATTACATCTTTAAATATAGTATGAACTTTTAAGATTCTCTCTGATCCATTTTCTATACCTCCCTGTCTTTGAAGCCTTTCTTCTTTTCAGGCTTATCTTAATTTTGCTGTAGCTTATTCCTCATACTTAAGTATGAGAAGACCATACTTGAGCATGGTAACATTTTCCAGGAATCATTAAATCTAAAAGGAGGAATGCCTCATGCTTACTTCTGCTTTTCTGTGCTGATAAGTAAACAGGATGCTAATAAATACTATCCATTACTAATTGTGTTATTGGTATATTAATAGCTTGCTTAATCCAAATTGCATAAAAATTTATCAATTTTAGTCAAATATTTTTAAAAATGCTGTGTTTCAGATCAGAGGTGGCAGCCCTTTACACAAAGTCAAGTGGCTGAGAATTGTGTTGGATGAGGGGCACACTATACGAAATCCAAATGCTCAGCAAACTAAAGCTGTCTTAAATCTGGAGGGACAGAGAAGATGGGTACTTACAGGTAAAATATTTTGATACCAGAGGAAATCCAATGCAAATCATCTGCATACTACACCATCTTGTCTTTCCCACTTAGTGTTTTCACTTTTCTGGTATATAGTTAATGTCTATCTGCCTCAGATTCATTTGGAATGTTTTTAGACTTGTCTTTGAACAGTGTTTTAGGTGTGTCTCCTTTCAGTTGTCTTTATTTTGTTTGCTTGGTTTTGTGGCTTGGGGGTTTTTTTTCTTAGTTTTTATTGAGTTTATATTTTAAAATAAGTTTTGATATGCAGGTTTGGTGGAAGTGCAAGTAAAAAAAAAATTATGAACTGGCACTTTATGTCTGGTTAGAAGCTCACGCTATGACATACTTACCCGAACCTCAGTAGCATTTTGAAGTGTAATAGTCATCCTAAAAACTGCCAGGAACCATTCACACATATGATCCTTAAACATAAGTTAAAGACGATGATGTAACCGCTGCTGGTGAGGATAAAATGGAAAGAATAATGTCCAAGTCTTCCTAGCACCAAGAGCTGCAGTTTTCTCACTTTTACATATTTTGTCTTTCGTAAAATTTTAATTAAAAAAAAGTCTCATACATGATCTTTCTGTTTGCTTGTTTTCTGTTTAGGGACTCCTATTCAGAATTCTGTAAAGGATTTATGGTCTCTTATTTCCTTCTTAAAAATGAAACCTTTTACTGATCGAGAGTGGTGGCACAGAACAATTCAGCGTCCAGTCACAACGGGAACTCCAGGAGGACTTGGGTACGAAGTGTTCCCAAAGGGTTTGTCAGCAACTATGACTGGCTGTGCTTGGGCAATGTGACAAATCAGTGTTTCATGGTTAAAACTAAAATTCAAGTGTAATCAGTTCTTTTTTCAATTTTTTAGTTCAAATTATTTAATAAACTTGCATTATTTAATATTTCAGATTAATGAATTATAATTCATTATAATTCATTATAATGAATTATAATAAGTAGTCCTGAGCTTGGATTTTATACAGAACATGTACTTATGCAATAAACTGGAAAAAGAAAACCCCAACAACCCCAAACCAACCCCAGATGAGTAATATGTCGTCTATATATGTATTTTTAGGCGTTTACAGTCTCTGATTAGGAGTATTACCCTTAGAAGAACTAAAACCAGTAAAGTTAAAGGAAAACCTGTTTTGGAGTTACCAGAACGTAAAGTGCTTATTCAGCATGTTACACTTACAGAGGAAGAGAGACAAGTCTACCAGTCTGTGAAGGAGGAGGGCAAGGCTGCTATTAGCAGGTAAGTAGAAGGCTTTCTTAATCCTGAAGGTTGAAGTTTGATACCACAAGCTTGTGTTTCGGACATTTTGATTATATTAGCTCTAGCAGCCAAGTGTGTCAGTTTGTATGCTGTAAGCTAATAATTGCAAATTAGCATACATCTCTTCAGTTCTGAAGAGTGAACTATATAAAGTTTTGTCCTGCGAGAAGCAGAAAGGGATACTGTATATGTAAAGAAATGGCCTTAAAATTTTTGTTGCCATGTTAGCATTTCTTTTAGAACATGTTATTGGTAGAGTTTTGTAACTTGTTTCAGGAGAAGATTTGAAAAACTATATTCAAACAGGAAAGTGAAAAATCAGAACAGCTAAATGTGATCACTTGATGTCATCTGTTACTTCAGGCAGTAGCGTTTCACACTAACAATAAGACTTGTGCAGATTTTTCAGTGAAGGGACTGTACTAGCTCACTATGCTGACATCCTTGGTGTCCTGCTCAGACTGAGGCAGCTTTGTTGTCATCCTCATCTTTGTGTAAATACATCTTCTAGTTTTTCAGCCGGTGAGTGAATGCTTTTGGTTCTTGTATTTCTAAAACTAGGACTTGCACTTTGTATTCAAGAACAGAAACATATGTTCCATGATATGTGGAAAACATGTAAGTTTTCCAAGCTTTCTAGCTTCAGCCTTTTCTTTTGAGCTTGGGGTTTTAGCTTTTAACTACTTCTAGCTTTGTTACCTTTATTTTTTTTTGTACCGTAACATGTTTTGATATGTTCTAGAAGTGCATACTCGAGCACATACTCAAATATGAACAAAAACAATGAAGTATGAGTAGTTACAAAGACCAGAAGCAGGAGTTAATAAGCTTTGACAGCCCATACAGAAATGACCGAAGAGGACCTCTGCAGAGCCAAATGCAGAAGGCTTGTTAAAAAGCAGTGTATCTGTTGTAATAATTTACAGAAGTGCTTTTACAGCAAATTTTTTTCTTTGCCTCAGGAGAGAAGATGTAGAGGAGCTTTGGGGAATGGCTTGTAGATTGGTAGCCATGTCAGCAGAACCATTGCCTCTTCAGCAGAATAGGAAACTGTTGACTTTGTTACAGCTGTAAGGAAGGGTGAACACAGAGGACTGAAAGGAGAGTGAAATTTTATTTTGACGAGCCAGAACTGTACAGCTGCATAGGGTTGAAAATTACATGCATTTCTTTCAGAGGAAAGTATAGTCTGTTTGAAATACTTTACTGTTCTTGAAAAATCCTATTTTGAGATGCCGTTGGTATGGGTGTGGGGGTTTCTGGTGGTGGTTTGTTTTTTTTTTTTTTAGTAAACCAAAAGGCCAATGAGATATGGTTAGAACCTTTTTTAGAAGATTGTGATTTATCTTCCTGAAAAATACAGGATGGAGAACCAACTGGATAATTGTTCAATAATTATTCAGAAATTAAGTAGCAAGTATGATTTGAATTCACCTAAAAGAATAAAGCAATCTTAAATATAAATAGTGTCATCTCCCAAGTATTGTTACTACTTGAACAGCTGCCCTATGAAAATTGCTTGTTTCTTATAGGCATTGTGTCACATGTGCACTTACCACTGAGCATGCAGTTGATGTTCTTGGAGAAATGGTAATTAGAATTCAGAGTAAGTTACTCTAATGTGTTTTGAAGTGGTAGGTCTGAATTTTCTCTAGTATTTGGCAGCTTGTGTTCTTACACATTTTAGGTTTTATCTTCATTGTGCATAAACTGTCCTAATTGCATTTTGATCAATGGAACCGTGTTGATGTATGCCAGTTCAGAGTGTTTCTTCTATGGAAATAATTTTAAGTATCTTTCTGTATCTGCAGATAATAAAACTCCTGAAGAACTGCGTGAGACTTTAGTGAAAAAAATGAAGTTGGTTCTGAGCTCTGGTTCAGATGAAGAATGTGCAGTTTGCTTGGAATCACTGACTGTTCCTGTGATAACACGCTGTGCACATGTGTTTTGTAAGCCATGTATTTTTGAAGTCATCAGAAGTGAGCAGGTTAGTTGTTCTATGGTTACAGTCAATTGTAATAGCTATTCAAAAGCAATGAACTGGTATCACCAGAAGGCCATCTAGCTATTGTTCTTTTAAATCATAAATGGTGAACAGTGTAAACCTAGTTATCAGCTGGGTTATAAAAATTATTGGCCTGAAGTCAAATTATGGAGAGAGTAGCTGTCAAACTGAACAGTATTAGAGTCCCATCAGTATTTTCAAGGACCTTTTCCCTAGTTCTCACCTTGCTTTGTCTCTAAGGTAAAAGTGATGGCATCCAGAGCAGCATTGTATACCTCTGTAAGGCTGGGTGCCTCTTCACTGATTCTTTGTGATGCAATGAATGTATATATTGTTGTGTTTAAAAGAGGCCAGAGCTGTGTACTGGAAGTTGACTGTTAAACTAAACTCATGTCTACTCTCCTTGTTCCAAGCTGATAACCTTCTACAGTGAGTTAGCTGCCCAGCTAGAGGTTCATCTTTATAGCCCTTCTCTGGACTCTCTCTATAATAAGCTTGGATGAACATCTTCTGGTTGCTTTTTTGAAAAACAGTATTTATTTTTCTTGCGTGCTTCTGAGCTACACTCTTCCTCCTTGTTTGCCCTTTCCTTTCTAGGGTGATCGGATGGTGTGGTAGTCTCACCATCTGTATCCAGTGCTGCTGCACTTAACTCTCTGGAATTGTTCTGCCTCCTGCTCAGCCACAGTAGAGCTGCAAGTGCCAGGCTAAACCTAGGTGGTGTTCTTTGTAAGAGGCAGCAGGGGACAAAGTAGCCCTGCTTGCGCATAATCAGTCAGCCTGACAGGACAGAAGTGAGAAGTGGTGTCTGCTTGGCCTGTAGATTGACTTTGTTTCATTGCCAGACAGGCAAGCTTCTCACACAGATATCCCAGTAGAGAGTTTCTGAGAATTTTGAGGGAGACTAGTGATGTGAAATTATTCTCTAAGGCAGAGGCCTTTTTTTCATTGCAGAGGCTCTTGATGTGTCTGTAGCAAGAGTCGGTATCCTGACTCAACCTTCAGGTGTATTTAGACATACAGAGAAATAAATCGGGTTATGACGTGATGGAACCTGTATTACTTGGCTGTACAGTCAGGTTATTTGCTATGCTTTGCCTAGAAAAGATCTTGGAAACTGTAAACTAGGGCCTTTGTCCAATTTCATGTTGTTCCATAGATTGCTTTCATAGCAGTGAAGTGTGAACAGAGGTGGGTATAGATTCTGCTCTTTTGAACTATTGTGATTTTATAAAACAGTGAGTAAGCCTTTCCTATGTTCAAAATTATTTCTGATTTAAGTCAATTCCCAGGTAAGTTTTTGCAGATTCCAGCCAAAAACCTGGCAGATTCTGGAGTCAGGAAATTCAGTGTTTCCACAGGATAGGTATTTGTCCTGGTGCTGCATCTCGGGTGGGTAGTTCCTGTGCCTCAGTGGTTACAGTGCAACTCTCTCCTAGTAAGTAGTGCAGGAAAGTACTTTACTTGCCACCTTAGAACAAACACATACCCTGCCTCCAAAACAGCTTGGGTTCAAACAGGATTCTTCCAGGCTTCCATTATTAATACAAACGTGAGAACATTAAGCCATCAGCGAGGAATGGGACGTGAAGCTGTCAACACAAAACTGCTAAGTGAAAAAGATTGGCCTTTAATTCATTACAAACTTGGAGACCATTTTATCTTCCTAATGTTAACCTAAATGTATTTACTGAAATTGGAAAAACTTAGTAGTTAACAGCTTGAGAGTTAACACCTTAATTTCTGTCTTTCATTGAGGCTAGCTTCAGTGTTGTGCAAGTAATTAAAGATCCTCTGCAGAAGTCCCAATAAAGCTATAAAATCTCTACAGTAGTTTAGCATCTGTTCTAACTGCATTCTTGTAACAGCTTGACAGATATGCATTAAAACATTCTTTTTTTCTCTTCTAGTTGATTGTGAGACATTTTTTGTCATTTTCCCTGCAAGTCTTCATTTGCGTTGTCATTGTTCAGTTGTGTTTTGAGTTTTCTGTTGTTTTTAATTACAGTACTAAATCAGAGAAGGGATGCAGAAAGATGTGAGCGTTTTATTAAAAAAAGTCTTTATGAGCACCATTCAGATTTTTTTGCAGAAAACTTTTTTAGTTTTATTTGAGTTAATTTATTTTGCCTCATCATTGGAGGACTTTTGGATTGCTGCCAAACCAGGAATGGTTCATTTGTAACTGCGGTTTGGAGACTGTTATTTTAGATTCGTTTGTGTTAAGATTCTGTCTCTTGAAAGGATAACTTTATTGCTGCAACAAATTCATGTATGCGGACTACGACTGCCAACCTCTAATTGCTAGAAGTTCACTCCAGATTAGCAGCCCCCAGTGTTCATCTGGTTTGCAGCCTGTCTAAAGATGCCTTGGTTCTGTGGCCAGATTGCTGTATAAGCTGAGTTAGCTAATTTTAAAGGGTTACCCTGTTAGGCAAAAGTTTTTCATGTCTCTCATTTTTGCTTCACGAAGTTGTGAATTTGTACAGTGCACACAGTCCTTTGTTAAATTTTGTGAGTTGTCCTATGGAAGTCCTATTGTGTAAATTCTAAACTTTGCATTATCTAGAGTATGCTTCAGAGAAAAAAGCTTTTGGTGTTAAATTATGTCTCATTTCTCATGGCTGTTGGGGGAAAAAGAGAAGATACACTGTGTCTGGCCCTGACAGAGCATATTTCATCAGACTGCTATTATTTCTGTGCAGGCTTTGAAGAAAAAGGGTAAAAGGTCACTCTTTGTTTGTAACTAAGATGTTGTCTTTGAAAGTTGGTTTATTTTTCTGATATTTTAAATAGTCTTCTCCCAATAGCCCAAGTATTTGCTTGCTTTTAAATGCTGAGCTGCTTATTTCACATACAAATATGCTTAGAAAGACCACTTTTAAGGAAGGCTGATTGTTTTTAAAACATGTAGCATTCATGTGACCTTAATATTCTCCCAAAGTATTTTTATTATGTGAGAAATTACAAAGCAGTGTGTCACAAGATTTAATGTACTTCTTGAGGATTTTTTTGTATGAACATCAATGTAATAATTTCATAAAAGGTGCTTTGTAAAGGTGATCTTCAGTACTTGCTATAAATTAGTAGAAACATATTAAATCAATGTTATTGGGGCTTTTTCGTAGCCAAATGCCAAATGCCCTCTCTGTAGGAATAAGCTTCGGGTAGAGCACTTGGTGGAATGTCCCCCAGAGGAAGAAATAGACTCCAGTAATGGAAAGAAGTCTGATCAGGAGTGGATATCCAGTTCAAAGGTACATTCCATTGTGGTTTACTTGGCTTTCATTATGGTTTTGTAGAATACCCTCTAGAATTTTTATGTAAATATGCTGAACATACTTTACATATGCATAACAGACTTTAAATTATTATTTAAAAGTCTGCACAGCATGTCTAGCCAGCACGGGAGAAAATGTGTAATTAAAACCTCTTGACAAACAAATTTTGCAGCAGGGAACCAAGACAAAAGGAGCACCAGTTGTAATTTGATGGTGGTTACTGTGCAGTACATAGATGTGTATAATAAAACTTTTGGTAAAAGAACTGTTGCTTTGCCTTTTGTTTCTGTTTCTGAGGAGAGAGTAGTTATATAACCACTGAAACTATTCAGCTCTTAATTCACTTTTGGAAACTAAAAATATAAATAAATCCAGGTAGGGGACTCCTGATAGCAGGAGGTATGTCTGGAAAAAGGGGCTTGTGAATTTTCTTCCCCAAAGCACCATCAATCACCCTGTAGTCCCTGATCATTAAAAGTGCTCAACCCTTAGTTTCCTTTGGAAACTAAAAGAAACCTTACCCACAGAATGTAAGATTAGCTTGTTTAAAAGGTATTACTGAACAGTGATTGCTCAAGTGATGTGAACTGCATCAAAGCACCTGTAGGAGTAGAAACTAACCAAGTGAGAGTAAGCTACATAAGTCTTCATTTGATTTCAGGTAAATGCTCTCATGCACGCTTTGATAGAACTACGGAGGGATAGTCCAAATGCTAAATGCCTGGTTGTTTCTCAGTTCACAACTTTCCTGTCCCTGATAGAAAATCCCTTGAAGTAAGTAGACCTACTGGCAGTTTAATAAACACGTGCTTTTATGGTGTTTTAGAAAGATCTCTCAAAGAATATAGTATCTTTTTGATTTTTAAATCTTCAGAAGAGGAACAAATTGCTTAAATACTTTCAGTGGAATAAAGCCATGAATCTTTCTTGTTATTTTTAATGTATCTCCTGTTAAATGCAGAATTTTAAATATGCATTTCAAAGTAGACGTCAGGATTTAAATGTATTTATTTCCTCTTGTCACAGAAAATGGATTGTTAAATTAAACATTTCTACTTTCTCTTCAGAGAATCAGGGTTTGCCTTTACTCGTTTGGATGGATCAATGGCACAGAAGAAAAGAGTAGAAGCAATTCAGTGTTTCCAAAGCAGCCAAGCAGGATCCCCAACTGTAATGCTTTTGTCTCTGAAAGCAGGTGGAGTTGGATTAAATCTGACAGCAGCTTCCCGAGTGTTTTTAATGGATCCTGTGAGTGATGGGTTGTTTATAATGATCTGGCTTAATCTAGATGAAACTCCTTTGATGTTTTCCTAAGGGGTGGAAGGAAAGCCCCCCTGAGAATGAACCACACTGATGAGTATCTGTTAAAGTGAAAGTAGGGCTTTTCTTAATTTGTTTCCCTGGCATGTTTTTGTGCTGTTCATTTATTTACTGTGAATGGAAAGAATGCTAGTAGTACTGTTAACAGAGTGGTTTGACATCTTACAGTGTAGCATTTGACATCTGTTCTTCTTTCTTTTTCTGATACTTTTGAATGTGGTTTTCTGCATGTTCTACTTAAATTCAGAAGCCATAGTGGAATTTCAGGAACTGTATTTTCTCCTGTGTTATAATGCGATGCTTCTCTGCTCTAGTCTCTTCTGTTATTTTTGTGAATTCATTTATAAATACATTAGTCTGAGGTTACTTTTTGTGGTTGTAGGAGACTGAAAAAGATGGCAATATCTGAATTTAGGAAGTTTTTATTTCCTTTCATTAAAGCACTTGGGAATGCAAAATTATTTGTAAGGAATAAAAATGTAAATTACATTTATTGATAGCAAACTGGTACTCTCTACAGAATTGGTTCATGTCTTCTTGTGTCATTGTACAAAATCAAACTTTTTTGTTCACTTCCTTCTTTCCCCACTATTTACTTCTCTACTCTGATGTCCTAGTTTTTTGGCAGTTGGAAACTGAGATGAGTTTGGTAGTTTGTGCACTTGAAAACAAAACCAAAGCAAATGAAAATTACAGTGTTGCTTTGGACTTGGGCATCTGTTAACACCAATAGTAAAGAAAAGGTACTAGCTTGGACATCAGGTTAGTGATAACAGCATGAAGACAAAAGCTATTTACTTAATAAACTGAAAGAATTAAATATGAGAGTCTGGAGAAGTTGCCTTGGAAAAAGATTTTTCATGAATTGTGATACATCTTCACAAGCATCGTTTGTGTGCTGCATTGAATAGTTCAGTTGGAAGGGACCTACGACACCATCTAGTCCAACTGCTCTTTTTTTTTTTTTAAATAAATTCTCTGAATAAGAGAACTTGTGGAACATACTAGTGAATTTTCATTTTCTGTGAGGATAATGAGGTATAATGCATACACTCTCCTGCGACAAGAAAATTAAGCTAAGCACCGTTAACACTGAGTGTATAGTTATCACTCTACAGCATATAGTTATACCTCACAAATCAGAGCCAAATATAATTGCAGCCTTTCTACACCATTGAACAACTTCTCACCCTGCTGCTAACCATCCCATGATGGTAACCATCCCAAGTGGCAGTGATTGACTACTTGTGTTTGATAAAGGGACAGTGGGACCACATGATCCTTTACAATCTCACTTTTGAATGTTCGGTGCCAAATGAGATTGTCACGCATTAGCATTTCTTGAAGTGGATTAGCAGCAATAATAGGATTTAAGAAGCAGAAATACCTCACCAGTGAGTAACTAGTTTTTCTACTCAGGCTCTGTAGTTTTGCTGTGGAACTGTAGCTTAGAGGTCTGCATTCTTTCTCCAAGATGTGTTACACCACAGTGCAAGGGAGGAGAAGCATTTATCCAACCATGGACTACTTTATTCCCTTTATTTAATTGGTTGTCTGTTTAAATACAATCATATCTGCTGAATTCTCACCTTTAGGAAGAAATATGAACCTTTAACATGAGTGTCACAGATGTTTCTCTGTATTTCCTCGTGTGAAATGTAGTATCCTTTCTATGAGGCATTGCAGAAAGGCATAGAGGTCTTGCAATTCAGTTTTCTTTGGACTCATGCAAGAAGAGAGTAGTACACTTTGGTTCTCCTCGACTACAGCAAAGGCAGAATGGAACATGCTTGTGCATGTTTGGGCTCTGTCTTTCCTCAAGACGAGATCTTGTTTGTACAGTGAGGTTAGAACAGTTTGCTGTACATAGCTTGCCAAGAATGTTCATCTTGCAGTGACAGATACATCATTTGTTGCACTTCTCTCTACCTTAGAGTGGAGAAACAAGACCTGTTTTGGCTTTTATCTTGCAGCTTGATGTCTTAAGTGTGTTTGGGCATCAGAGGTTCTTAGAATCTAAAATTAATTTTTTGTGCTAGCCTAGTGCTGTTTTTCCCCCCTCTTCTACGGAAAGGAGTCATTAAGAAGAGTTCCTAGATAACTTTCAGTATGTGGGTGACATGGCAAGATGAGCCCACTGCATGAGACTTGCTTATCACAGACAGAACTATTACATTTTAGGTAGATTTAAATATCTGTTCTGTGAGAAACTAGTAGCACTGTACCTTTTATATAGAAGAAACATGCTGGAAAAACACAGAGTGCAGACTTGGCGTTTCACAAATCCTTGTATTTAGTGTTCTATCGTAAGCATAAGTAGGAACAGCTACACTACCATTTTGTGTTTAGCAAGTTTCTTGTTTACCAAACTTGATTATTTCTTAATAGTCAAGGGACTTAGGCTACTGATAAATAACTGCTATTCAGCTGGTTTAGATTTTGCTGTCAGGAAAAGGGTACTGAGACAGTATATGCAGTGTTTATTTCAGAATTAAAATGATGAGATTGATGTCTCTTTGACTCCTGACAAACTTAAATTTTAAAGCATTTACCTGAAGTTCCTACTGGTTATGAATATATAACCGGAAGTTCTCAAAGTTTTCTTTATAGTGGGATACTTAAGGAGACATTAGGTTAGGAGTAGTTAATCTGCAAGAAATATTTGTTCAAGTGATGATGGCACAATAACGTCTTTGTGATTCCGTGTGCACTGTACTGTGAAAGGACATTAACTTGTTCTTTGCTTCTACTTACAGGCTTGGAATCCTGCTGCAGAAGACCAGTGTTTTGACAGGTGTCACAGGCTGGGTCAGAAGCATGATGTTGTTATTACAAAGGTGAGCTGAGAGATCACCTGTTTGATCTCTTTGAACAGTTTTCTGGTTAGGAATAAATAAATTTCCAAAAAGTTTTACTGTATTTTTAAAAGAATTGTGACATTCTGTGTCTCACCAGTAAACTTGAACTGTGGTATGATTTTTTTTTTTTTTTTTTAAAGTGTGGGCTTTGGATTGTAAGGTTTTATTAAATATAACCTATTTCCTGTGAAATAATAATTACAGAAATTAGATATTCCTGTGGGGCTATTTGGAGCGACTAAGACTGGGGTAGTATTGCCATTGTATAGCCTGGCTATTGCAGTTTAGTGTCTTGAAGGTACGTAGAATGTTTTTGCTTTGTCATAGCAGCTTGTTCAGCTGTGGAAGAGCAGCTGGTCTGTCTCATTAATACCCAGTCACAAAAATGTTACTTGGGGAAATTGAAGAGAGGTTCTCTTGAGTATAAGTAGCAAAGAAGAGACAGATAACCTTCCAATAAGTGTTTTCAAAAAAAAAAAAAAAGGGGAAAAAAAAAAAAAAAAGGGGAGGGGGATATTAAATTGCCAAACTTTTTCCTCCAACTGCTTTCTCTTGTGTTTTCTTTATGAAGTAGTAACAAAGTAATGGAACTGTGCTTTACACTACTGACCTTTTAAACTTTTTTCCCCCAAAGTATATAAATTTCTCATCCTAAACTTTTAATTAAAAACAAACCACAACACCTTCATTTCAGTGGGGCTTCTTTTGTATTTCAGTTCATTGTGAAGGATTCAGTAGAAGAAAATATGATGAAAATTCAGAACAAGAAGAGGAAACTTGCAGCAGGAGCCTTTGCTACCAAAAAGCCTTCAGCAAGTGAAGTAAACCAAACCAAAATTAATGAAATTAAAGCTCTAATTGACTTATAGCTCGAAACTGGTATTTTGAGTAAATAATATATTTTAGTTAATACTGCTCTTCAAGTTACGTGTTTCATGCTAACTTTTAGTTTTGCTGTCTTTGTGGTCAAAACATAAGTGCTTCAGAGATTACAAAACCTAATTTGCTCCTGAATATCAATGTAAAAGTGCACAAACTTGTTTTGCATTCCTGGAATTTTTCCAGTGTTCATTTGTTCGAAATGTTGCTTATTATGTACAACAGTTAAGAATATGTAAAATCACTCAAACCAGAAATGCATATTAATGCATTCTAACTTGCAAGAATTTAATCTATTTTTAGAGGTGAAAAGGTAACAAAATGTAAATAATGTCTTTTGTCCTTCAGACAAAACCCTTAAGAAATTAATTAGCTTCAAGTTTCAATCTTGGTGTTTCCTGATACCCAAACAGATCATCTGGATTATTTGTTTCTGAATAGGTGGTCAGTGAGTGCTTCATAAGGAATTCCTACTTCTGCAGATTATGTTCAAAGATGGTATTTAATTCAGAAGTTTCAAGTTTTGGGTTGTTTTTCTGCATAATACACAGGTGCAGCAGGGAGTTCCTCTGTTTACTTCCCAGGAGCTAGTAAAAATGAAGTACTTAAATTTGTAACACACTTTCTTTTAATATTTTACTTCCCTTAAACGGAATTCTACTGGTAAAGAATAAAAAGCTAGAATCATAGGCTTGTATTGATAATACACTTTCTAATAACTTCTGTACACACTTTGAACAATATGGCTGTGCTACATGCAAAGTAGAATGTGACCCACTTGCTTGTCAGTGAATCAGCCCCTGCACAACAAAACAAATTTTTTCAATAGCTGCCAGCTTTCTTGCACTTGCTAAGTGCTTTTCCAGTCCCATACATCTGTCTTAATGGAATGCTGATCTGTGTGCATCTTGATTATAGAGGAAGAATTTGGTAGGCTATGTTCTCATGTACTGCAAAGTAATAAACAGCACTGAAGAATCTCAGTTGAATATTCCTGTCTGTTCCTTCTATCTCTTTGCATTTGATTCTGGTCTGTTACATGTTTTCTTAACTCTATGCTGCCCTCCCTGTAATGCTCAGACTTGGAATTGGAGGCAGAGGTTGCTGTTTCAGTCCTGTTCAGATTGAGGAAGTGTATTTGGCAGCAAAGAAATGGACTCTGATTTGCTTCTAATGCTTTTCACCTTTTCTTACATCTTGGAATACCAGCCAGCTGGTTATAAGATAAATTGCAAACATAGGAAATGGAAAAGGACTGAGAACTAAAGGGAAGATGTCTCATGTTTGGAGAAACAGGGAGCCAATGGAAGGAGTGAGAAGGTAATTCAGAATATGTAACCTAACAAGCTGATGGAGTTTTTGGGGAGCCAGCATCTTAGCTATGGAGAAAAGTGTGGTTTAGGTCTGTTGGAGAAAGAATTAGAGACATGCATGATGGAAGACAGCATGAACCCCAGTAACTGGTGGTCACTGGAGAGTTGGCAGAAGAATGAGAGAACAGAGCTACACCTGGACAAAAATTTAAACTTCCTTTTAGGTTTTTGTGGTTCAGATGCTGATGTTTAGAGATAAAGTGGAGAAATAATTCCTGATTATGAACAAGTTGGCTTTGTGTCATTCTTTAAGTTAAAATTCCATGAAGATTTCAGTATCAGGGGCTAGTCAAGCTACATTGTTACCTGTGTTAAAATATACTGACATTTTGCAGAGTGGCTGAGTTATGATTACAAAAACAATTACTAGTATCATGTTTTCCTAGATGGTTTCTATGTTCCAAAGCCAAATAAACACTTAATGGAGTCAGTACTAAGCTGTATGGGTAGTTAAGGTCTCTCCCCCAAAAGCAGTTAATATGGACACAAACAGAAAAGGGTCAAAGCTGCAACCAGAAAGGTCCTGTCTGAGTTGGAGCTGTTTAGTTACTTAGGTGGTTTGGAGTTTACTTTTGCTTTTCATGATCTGTAAGTAGTCTTTGGGCTGTTGGTAAAAAAGCCCGGACATTTGCTACTGTCAGCTAGAGCAGCATTAGGAAAGCTTAAGGGTTATACCTGTTGAATATTTCAGTTGGACTGTGGAGCTCCCTCTTTTTAATTGCTCAAGAGTTTAGGGCAGCCAGAAATGCATGACAACTTTTTATTTTTGTATCAAGTGTAACATTGCAAGTAACAGATAAAACTCAGTTTACTAGTCCCATAGTATACAGAACTGAAAAATGCATTCTGCCATGCTGTAGGCACTGTGCGTAAGAACCTGGTCAAAACTTCAGTGCAATTGTGACTGGAAGAGCAAAGCAGTGCTATTACTGTTACATCTGTGTGTATCCCAGTGTTCTTAATACATTTATGGTAAAGCAGAATGGCTACCACTCTAGTGTATGAGCAATCCCATGAATTAGATTTTACATCTAAAACAGCAAGCAAAGGAATCAATGCTAATCACCTTAATGAGGTGAGGTAACAAACCCAGTTTCAAGGAATATGTTGAGCCAATTGATCACAACAGAAGAAAATTTAAGCTGAAAATACCTGGTTTTATCTAGTAGGGAGAATTGGAAATTGGGCAGTTACAGGTGGCCCAAGGAATTCTGCTTCCTAGCTTTTGCTCAGTCTTCATCTGTAGCACTGCAGAGGCCTTCAGCCAAGAAGTTTTTCATCAAGCTACTAGCAAGTGTAACTGACCACCATCTACACCTTTCTAGCTGTTAGTTCTGGAACAAGTCCTTGCATCACCACTGTTTGAGACAGGCACTTCTACTGAAGGTAGGTATCAAGTTTCTTCTTGATGTTGTCAAAGGAATCCACTCCCATATAGTCAGCTTGGCCCTGTTCCCACCGTTCCTTGCGTTCTTCTGAAGATACAGTTGGTAATACTGGTGATGGTGCTGATATTGATATGTGGGACACTGCCTCTGTAACCTCTGCCTAAAAGGAAAGGCAGAGTAAAAATACAGAAATACTTTGCATAACTAAAGTGAGCAACAGGTCTTAGAATAGGACAAAGTAGATGCTCATGCGCAGCAGCAAGCATTGCCAATGGGCAGGGATTGTGCAGCTTTCCTAGCAAAATAACAAAGCAATAAGTTAGCAGGGAGGGAAAAAAAAAAGGTAAAAGTTTAAGTTCTTCATACCTCTCTACAGAAGCCACAAGAGAAAGCCAGAGTATAGACCAAGCCCGATAGCTGCAAATAGTTCGTTAGAAAAATGTAAGATAAACAAGAGAAAGCACATCTTGAGGGGTCAGTAACTTTGGTCTTAGAAAGGTTGAGAACTTAAACTGGCCCATGTACTATACTAAGACTAAAGTCTGCAGTCAGATGCAAGCTACTAGACTCTGTGAAGGAGAACTAGAGTTAGAAGCATTACTTTGGTCTTGATATGTACTGGGATTCATCACTGCCAGTCTATGTATTCACTAGTTCTAGGCTTACCTAGATCTGCTCAGCATGCAAGGTCTGTATGCACACACTGCCTGCTGAGCTGGGGTGGTTCTGCTTGAGAACCTCACTGGCTACAACACGTTAAAGAGTTTTAGGGCCCTTCTCTGTATTAAGTTCCTACAGCATAATTTCTGGTGCACCATTAGCTCTTCACGTAGTTTGTTTTGGGCAAGCAGACAGCTACATTCAAGACCCCTATAGCATGCTTCTCTTTTGTAGTAGTGTTTATTCCAAGCTTAAAAGAACAAAACCAAAACACCCTGCATCCCACAAACTAAATTACACCCATGCTTTGAGGTGGGCAGCGGGAAGGGAAATCAGTGGAATGATAAAGAACCTGTCATCCATACTTATGTAGTTTGTACAAGAATATTAAAGCACATACCATGTTTACACCTGTAGTAGCTTCTTCAACAATTCCATGCTGTTCTAGTAATGGTAAAACATTAGCTATATAGGCACCCCACCACATGTTGAGGAACTCTGGGTGAACTACTTTAGGGTCGTCCATGTTGCCTTTTATGCTTTTTGTTCTGGAGTCATATGTATAGTTCCATGGCTTTATGCTTCCGAGGAAATGCACCACTTTAGTATTTGCACCAAACCTGTTGGACAGAAGTCATCAGAACCCACAGTTTGTGCAGGTGTCTAGAAAACAAGAGTTTTGACTGGCAAACATTTTTTTATAACCTGCAGTTTCTGTAAGTGTCCAGAAAACAAATATATTTAGGAGGCTAAACACTAAATGATCAAACTGCCAACACCTACTGGGACCAAAAGCATCACTATACAACAAAAAAAATGCAAACAAATTTCTACATTACACTAGTCAGAATACAGCCAAAACCTAATGGTATGGGCTATTTAAGTACTTACAGCCAACTCAAGTCTTTAGGTAGAGTGATGTCCATAGCTCAGGAGAGAGCAGTCTTAAGCAGCCGTTGCAATCGGAACTGGTTTTAAAAGTGAAAAAGATTCTACTCCAAAGTCAGTGATCCAGATAATTAGGCATTACAAGCATTATGTAGAAAAGGGTCAGTGTTAAGAGTTACCCTTTCAGTTTACAGCCCTATAGAAATGGATCATTGGAAGGCCCTGCTGCAAGAAGAATGTGCCCCTGCAAAATAATAGCTTACTATAACCGAAGCATTTCAGAGGACTTCTGATGGTGGTGCAGCAGGGTCTTGCTAGTCAAGATGGGTGGATGTGGAGGGCAGGGGGGTTTCTGTTTCTTTTAAAAACTATTTTAAATCCATCTTCAATATGAACTTATAGCTGTGTCCCAAATGTTACCAGTATGTTCTTTTCCATTAAGACTGTAGATGAGATCCACCCCTTTTTGAAGTAAAAAACTTAACATTAAAAGAGACAGCATTAGTTCTGGAACCATAGAAAAATAGAATGGGAGTTCAACTTGAGTCAGTTTTGTGAACAAGCAATACTAGTGTCTCTAGTGACAGCAACTCTCTCACCTAGTTCAGTTTGTATCACATTGGGATTTCTTCTCAGCACATGAGTAACATTATTAAAATGGATAATAATGCCAAACCACTAACATTGTTAGCCACACCCTGGTCATTTTGACCAGGACTCAGACATTGAAGGAGTTCTACATAGAGACAATGCAGGTATGTTTCAAAAAAATTTAGAATATTCAAAACAAGACAGTATGTATTGGGGTGGGCATTTTTGTACTATTGTAAGATCCTTAACTGTATTTCAATATTCATGTTCAGTGTTTTGAGCACAACTGATCTTACTGCAGAATGAAAATGTATGCATGTGTGAAACAAGGTCAAGCATTTGCACTAATTACAAGAAAAAAAATAATCTAAGAGGTCAGTTCCTCGGATTTAACTTTAAACTTCCTATGTCGAGATTTGGCATAAGAGAACTCCCTTAGTTTTATTAGCTGACACAGCTCTACTTAACAGCCTGAGATTTCATCTGAGGCAGCTGTTGCTGCTCTGAGGAAACTGGTCATTGTTTAAAAATCAAGGCTATTTAAGCTAGAGGATGCCTAAGAAGCTTTATGATATGCTTGCTACAAAGGCAGAAATGTGTTCTTAGTATTCTGTCCACTTAAGACCTGCACCACAGTTGGCAGATGCCAAGTTTCTACAATGTTTACAGTATCTGCTTTCTGGATGCTTTCTAGATCTGCAAAACTTTCTTTGGACATTTAAGCTCAACTGTTAGGAAGCTTTATGTCCACAGTGGCCTCAGCAACTAATCCACTTTCCCCATCTCCCAGAAAAGTCCTTCATCAATGTTTTGAAGTACAGAGCATTTGTCATGAATTGGCATTTTCCTTTGGAAAAAGGATTACTGAGACTGCTGTGAAATCTAGTCTCGCTGTACAAAGCTGCAAAAAACTTAGCTATTGATGTCAGTAGGTTTAAATTTCACTTTATTCCAACTGCTGATTATCAGGAGTGTAGCTGCTGATCTAACCAAGGGAAATTGTTCCACCTATTGAGCAGGGTATTCTACTTAAAGGGCTGCACTTCCAGCATTCTACTTCTGAAGGTCTGCTGAATTCAGTTAGGCGACTGATTCAGTCAGTTGAATGGAATTTTTGTCAGGAGCCCTCAGATCCAATTAGTCTTTTGTGGCAACAAGGTCATTTGTAAATTTAAGGTCATGTGACTAAACGCCAGCCATAGAAAGAAGATGTACGTTACAATAGACGTTAGCTTATCAAACGCTATCCAACTACTTAGTCACTCTTAGGCTTGCATATATTTCTTTAAATAAGCGTTCCACTTTTAGCATGACAGGATTTCAAATGGTATTCTGATCACAAGACATAGTTTGATCTTGAGCCAGCAACAGCCCTGCTTATGATAGCTGCTGCTTTGGACACTAGTAACCTGATGTCATTTAGAGATCACACTGTTTTTATGCAATTGGTACATCCCCTGCCCCCCTCCAGCTTACGCAGCTCTTAAGTAAGAGTTTCTGTGTAACATTTCAGGTTCCCATGCTTCCCCACCTTCCTCCTGCGCTTATTATAACAGTTCGAGTGACCCTGCCACTGACATATGGTTTACTCACATGCCAAATCTAGTGCTGCTAGCTAGGGAGGATAGGGTAGTTTTCCTTACACAGGAAACATGCAATGGTGTGGTGATTGGCTGCAGTCTGTGTTCCATCTTGCTATTAGTTAAGGAACTGTCTGAGACCTAGAAAGACTGTTGGGAGAGACTTCTAGTTTTATACAAGGTCTTTATACACTATGTTTATTTCAACAGTATTGGTTGATTAGATGAACTGTAACTAATGGTTGTGAAATACCCTGAGGACTTTGAGTGAGGAAAGGGCAAGTTACCTAGGTGGGAACAATACCACCAGTGACATGCTGAAATTCAGCTCAAGTTGATTCCAGAGCTAACTCAAGAGCTACTGCCTTTGTTTAGAGCTGCAATGGTATCCCATACTGGAGGAGTGGTTCTTCCTTTCACGAGTGATCTGTCAAATGTGCTTACTCTAAATCAGCTTCAGTGTTACCGCCAGGGATGAGTGGTTTTAAGCTCCACATACAGCCTTCTCCCTGCATTTATCATGAGGTGATTCATTTAATTAGTATTAAACTTTTTTGAGAGGAAACTATTATACCTTCTTTTAGTGACAATGGTCTTCCTTTAGAAAAATTGTGTAAGTTCATATTGTGCCTGTTTATTCTGTTACAAGAGGTTTGTTTATATAAGCTCTGAAAGTCATCTTAGAATTTTGAACTTACGCTTTAAATGCTGGAAGGTAGGAATATACAGAAGTGCTGCTCAAATTATAAATAAATGGTAGATGTTTGCTCATGTCTGTTGTTGCCCAGCTGCTGAAGAAGGTGTTTAATAACCCCTGATCTGCACCTGAAAGAGAAAGCATTAATAGGCTACAAGCATCAGAAAGCTGTTTTAGGATCTTTTTCAATCACTCTACTAAGTAAGATTTGGTAATGCAGTTGTCGTGTCCAGTAGGAGTTTGGCATAGAGGACTAGAGTTCTATTTGTGAACAACCCTGTGAACCTTGCAGCCTTTGAAAATCCAAAACACAGAATTAAAAAGATAGCATGTTGGGTTACTTTTTGCAAAAAAAAAAGAAAAGCAAGCTACTCACAAACCCTGCCATTCAGTTTCTTTTACAGTTTAAGTTCAAGCTGTATAAGGCAACAAAAAGCAGGACTTGACAACTGAGTACTCTTCAGCTTCAGGAAAGCTGTAGCTCAAAAGTTCAAGTGCCAACAATTAGTTTTATTACTTATGTCTACAGATGTATGGCCAACATCTCAATGCCAGAGTTCAGGTCTAGCAGACTGCTGATACCCTCAGTCCTGGATCCATCTGCCTGCACTGTGATCTGATAAGGAAAGCACAGTCTTGGTGAGAACTCCAGTAAAACAACATCAAATCCCTTTAACAGGCAATAGGCATTCCTCGTTCTGTACTAAAAGGCTGCTGACTAACCCTTAAGTGAGGATGGCAAGCTGAGTTATGGCCAGACCTACTGTGTTGCGAGGGTCACCTCTTCTTAGTTTGCAAGTAGACATTGTAACAAGGTCAAGTGAGTCTGAAGTTGTTTGGTATGTCAGTAGTAGAGTAGCTACAGAAAGGTGTCTGGCCCAAAGCAGACTAGTTTATAAGCAGCTACTGAGAAATAAAAACTACTTCATTGCAGTGAATATACAGTAAAGAAATGTCTTTAAGTTCCAATAGTTCCTCTTATGAAGGAGATTGAAGGGAGTCCCTCAACTTTCATTTGCTTTCTTCACCTGTAACTACATTCACAAGTAGCATTGTTAAAGAGTAGGTAAATGCATAGCTTAGTTAGAAAAAATGTTCTTTTTAATCTTTAATTTTCTAAAACACTCGGTCTCTGCTGAGTCAGAGAAGGGTTTTTTTTAACTGGCCTATGATTAGATTTAGGACAGTACTAAGGTTTACACCCCCACTGCTGTTTGAATTTTCTTTTTGCAACTGAAGTATCTGGACACTGGGCATAAACTTAGACAGTACACTGACAAATATAAATTCTAAGTATCCTGTTACAGCTGTCAGCATACATGCAGATTGCAGAGTGAGAAATTGCCTAGAGACTCAGTCCAGTAATTTCAAATGTCTGACTTGCCTCCCAATGCATAAAGGCAGAAAAGCACTTCAGAAGAAGTCATGCCCATCACAAGAAAACAGAGAAAACAGACAAGTCCCCTGGTCTTTACTTAGCTGTTTTTCATCTTCACTTAATGCTGTGTTAAGAATGCATATGTTAACAATAAGATCATCTACAAGAGAAGAAAGTCTGGGGTGCCCTCTCAGCACAGATAGCTCATAACTGAAGGGGCAGCAACAATGTGTTTAACTTATTCTACAGGACCTCCTCTCACTCAGATTGTTTTACATACTCAGCTTTTTTTCAGGTTGCATGCATTTGTGCCAAAGCAGCCACTGAAAGCAACATTCAGCTGTCCCAGTTCAGACTTCAACAGTTGTCTTGTATAAACGGGACCTTAGACATAAGGTGAAAGAATCAGGCAGTAGTTACATTAGCTACATCCCTACAGATACAGTCCTGCTGCATTGTAGCTCTATATGTAAAAGCAACCAATCTCACGTTAAAGGTTCAAAGGGTTGTCAGAGCAATAGCAATGTTCTTAAGTACTACCAGATTTCTTCTAAAACCAACTCTGCTAATTTTTGATAGTATCTAGAATTATTGCATGACATATTCCTCATTATCTAGACAGGTGAGGTTCACATAAAGCAGTTGTCTGCTTAAGTAGCCAGTGCTCCACCATTTCTGGACAACAGCATTACAGAGGAGGCATGTCTGCTTTAAACACATTAGACACTCTGGAAGGTCTCACATTCCCTAGTTACTTCTACTGCAGATGGGGTGTTCAGAGCTCAACTTCAATTATGCATACCCTAGTAGCTTGAGTTTGCATCCCTGTGTCCTATTAAGGGCAGCGACCCTTCACAAGTTTCTCACAAAAAGTTTCCTGGAAACCTCTATTACTGTCTAGATCGATTTAGGTTTAGGTCCCCTTTCTCCTCAAGTTCATGAACTGAGCAGCAGATTATGCAGGCAGCGTAAGTCTGTATGGTCTCATTCACATCAGGGCTACCATTTAAGAAAAAAAATATAAATTTTAAAGCTGAAATACAAATTACAGTTCTAGAAATTTGGCACCTAAACCATTAACCCACCATTTCTGCTGTTAAGAGATGCAACGATTGCTTCACATTTAGGACACTGAGGAAGTTTCACCATCGTGTGGCTTGAGTTTTTGTCAGAAAGTATATTGTGAAAGCAGTTCTATTCTTTTAAAGCACAGGGGCCTTAGACCTAGAGGATGGCTCTGCTAGCAGTCAAGCAGAAAGCTCAGAGACGACACTTACCAAGTCTTGCATGATCCTGGAGCTACTCAGCAGTCAGATGTGGGTTTGTTTGGGTTTTTTTCGCTTGGTTGGGTTTTGGGTGGGTTTTGATTGCTTGGTTTTTTTAAAATGCAAACATTCAGTATTGTGCTACAGCTTTTGCCATAGCTGGTGATCAATTTACACCTAACATTTGAGAGCACTCCCAGAGCTACTGACAGGTACCTTGTCAGTAGCAAGGTACAGACAGACCTTCATTATGCTGCAGTACTCTTTTTCACTAGTTTATTCATATGGCAGCATTAAGCATCCAGCTGCGACTAATGTTCTTTAGGAGGCCACACAGGAACTGGAATTATTCTGCAGACTGGGAGTAACATCTAGAAATTTTACTTTTTACAAAGTACTGAAAGGTAAGTCAGCAGGATGGCTAATTACTTTCTATTAAGAGTTCCATTTTGTGGTCTTATTTATGTAGTTTTCTGTAGCTTTTTCAGTTAGACTTTGTTTTGTACCACAGTAGTTACATAATGAAATTTAGTGACAGGAGGCAGTGAGTGTCATTCAGAAGCCTTTTAACTATAGCAGTCTTCAAGCAACATGTGCATTTACTGCAGTGGTAATAGATTTGGGAGACATACAGGAGAGCCGAACTTGGCTTCTCAAATCTGGCACAGTGGCTGATCCCAAGTGACCTATAGTGGGAAGCAGCCATGCTTCCATGCACTTGATACTAGGAAAAAGACAGTCACCACTCTGTAATGACAGGAAGCTATCAACACAGCATACAAAGAGGTAGTTGCATCTTCAGATGTTTGTTTCTCTTGAAGCTGCACTCAAGTTGATCAGTACTCTATTTTCACAGCAACTTGAGTTAGCATAAAGCATTCAACTCTTGAGTGTTAGGACTGTATAGAGCATAGTACTGCAGTTTCATGTGCTAATGCACACACTGTGCTTGCTCCATCTTAAGATTTCTCGTTACATCAATCTATACCACTAATGCTCACAGCTACTAGTTTTGAGGCCACACTCTTAGGGTTCTTTTATTTCATGAACCCTGAAAAAACTAAGTTTACTACATATTGTAGTGATAGCCTCTGTGGTGAGAAGGATATAGTTTTTGTGCAGTTGCTTTTGTGTTGTGTAAGCCATACCAACCACTATTATCATTTTGGCCTAACTTATATTGAAATACAAATTAATACATACCATCAAAGCTGCCTTTCTCTGTGGCAAACTGTAACAGCTGATTGTATGTTTCAATGGAAGGTCGGTAAACAAAAACTCCAGAATTAAAACAGTCAGGCCAGCCTGGATCTGGTGCTGCAGACAGCTCTTCTCTCTCAAAAAGCTCATCGATATTTGACAAAACCTAGTTGTAAATGGGGTAAAAAAAAATTTTCTGTTTTTTAGGTTAGGAAATGGGGTATCGTGTTTGAATGGATTTTGACATCCACCTTGAGACATGAAAGAAAGTTCTCTTATCAATGATCTTGTCTTACGGAAGACAATACATTATGGAGATAGTCCCCCACAGCCTATGTTACAGTTAATTTAGGTAAAAAAGGCACGTACATTTTCAGAGTTACTGATCCAAATAGCAAAAAGGCCTCTACTGCCCCTTCTCTAAAAAAAAACCAAAACAAACAAAAAAACCCAAAAAAACCCACAAACCAACCAAAAACCACTCCCTCCCCCCCCCCCCCCCC